GTCACACTGTTCGAATACAAGAGAAGCTACTATACCGGCAGGCAGGAACAATGGGATATCCTGCACCTGAGTATCTTTATTCGGGTATTCCCACTGAGAAGACAGATGTTTACAGCTTTGGTGTAGTAGTGGTAGAGGTGGCAACGGGTAGAAGGCCTCTTGATTATAATGGAATTGTGGTTGTTGACTGGGTCTGGTACCTGTGGAAAAAGGGGAAACTAATTGAGGTGATTTGTGTTGATGGGGAAGTTTGAAGGGGTGGAAATGGAAAGGATGCTGATGATGGGACTTTCTTGTGTGCACCCAGACAAAAAAGGTGAGCGCCGGTGAAGGAAGCTGCAAGGATGATTAGAGATAGAAGCACCACTGTTGCCGGTGAGTAAACCAAGAGTGGGCATTTGACCTCTTTTACCTGTGAATCTGAAGAAATAGTGAATCTCGGTGGAGATCGTCCCAGTCTTGATGATGCACTGTATATGACCCAACCCAATTTATCTAAGACTTGCTCAGGAAAGGCCACACACATTAACATTACTTCAAATGGTTTTCAGTATGGGGTCTTTGTTGCAGTTGGTATCAGACATGGTTGAAGCTTGTTAACCAAGACCAGTCTTCCATTTTTGATATCGGTGGAATTACACCTTTCAACAAACCTCAACGAAGAAGTTGTGTTTCCTTTAATATAGTTTTTGATAACTATTCCTCTGTAATGCCCGAAAATGAAGAGGAGATTGCTCTTATCATTCATTCTCATTTTGACCGTTATGCACTTATTTCTGCTTCTTTACTTGTTGTATCATTTTTATACAGTCTCCTTATTGTTAAGACTCTTTTTGATTGAATAGTGTGAAACTGTATTAACGCTCACACCCCTACCAGTGCCTGAGCCCTTGGGGTGGAGTCGAGCTAGCCCAGATATAGTCTTTCAGTTCCTTTCTGATAAACCTGACTACTCATAACGAAAAAGATCTCGATTTATTTACAGACAGATATCGTGTGTACTGATTGACCAGATGCGACCGATACCTGTTGACAGATGACAGACAGAAGAGCGGGAAGTAGCATATCTTGAAAGAAAGAAAATGATGTTTGTTACTTACAAGCAAGGTATTCGCCCCCCCTTGAATAAAAGAAGGGAAGCAGTATTGATTGTATTGACGGATTGAGGAGTCATGCTTTACCAATTTCCAATACAGTTGATCCTGTGTAATTTGAGCATAAAAAGCTGATCTTTCTTTAGCACCTCTTTAGCACCTAGTCATGCATGCTGGCTGACCGAAGCACCTGTACTTCAATCGATTAACCAAGCACGGGAGATATTCGCTAAAAAGATAACCGGGATATTGAATGAATAAAAGGAAGGGTCGTAGACAGATGAGCCTTTGCGACCGTTTACAAGAGTGAATACCGAAAGAAAGAGACAATTCCAGATGCCCTCAGACAGATGCCACTAAACAAGTAAAGGAGAACGGACAGTTTTCGTGGATCGGGAAGACCAACTCTCATTCAAGGAAGCGGACCGTTGACGACAGCAGGCCGGGAAGGACAGAGACTACTAAAAAAGGCGAAACTCACATGTTTTTAGAGGTTGACCCATCCGACCCCTGAAACTCGCAATTTAGCAAAGAAAACCATTCCGTACCTTTTTCTCATGTCGATACCAGCTACAGATCAGATATGACCGGTTGAAGAAAGAAGAAAAGAGAAATGAACGATTAAGCGAGACTTTGCCTTAGAGACCCATGAAATGGAAGTTTGATTAGACAAAAGGTCTTTGAAGACCTCTTCAGCTTCCACGCTTATTATTGCTATCACCTCAACTTAGACCTGCTTACTTAGAATGAAGATAAATAATGAAAGGCTTTACACAAGACCCTTACACAGGCCAGAGAGAGAGCCTTCGCTTACCTGCTTAACCGTGGCCTCCTATCGTATCTATATCCCCTTTCTTTCCTTCAGTTACATCAAGTCTCAGTTCCGCTTCCAACTACCGATGGGAGAAGGCTTGGACGTATAGCAAGAAAGAATCTGAGGTATGGCATACGGGATATATGAAATGAAAGGCTGGAAACAGAGCTGGAGATGAGCGCTAGCCAATGGTTAATACTGAAGAAAGCACCTTAGCAATTACCAGTAATGCCCCTATCGACCTCAGTCTTGTTTTTTGCTAACTTGAGTAACGAACACTATCTCATTAAAGGCCGAATATCCATATATATCTTTATGGAAGAGAGTCGGCCCACTTTTAGCCGTTCCAGCAATTATGCCCGTTTTAGCCCTACCGTCCACCCCTATATAATGGAAAGGGGTACTTTTGAGAGCTGATGTGTAACGGATCAAAGCGACCGTTAGTCGGGCTGATCTGTGATTGGTCAAGGCGAGCGAGAGGACACATACCTCCTCCATATTCCTTAAATGGGCAAGACTCGGATACTGCATGCGAGAAGTATAAGAGTTTACAGTTCAATGAAAGAAGAAATAGGTGAAAGAAGGGAATGAGAAAGAATCAATAGGTGAAAGAATAAATGGGTTTCGGTTCCGTAGCTTGACCTTCTATCCGGACGCTTGACTTACCTTGTTCAAGAGTGAAAGAAGGAAAAGAATAAATAGGTTCAGTAGTGATTGAGCTCAGCAGTGAGACCGACAGGTGAAGGATTGAATGAATAAGGTAAATAGGGTCAGGTCATAGAGGTTCCGGTTCAGGAGAGAAGCCGAGGTTCAGGAAAGAGCTACTTTTCTTTTCTTTTACCTCCTTCAATCCAGGTCAAAGCCTCAAAGTCAAAAGCAGGAATCCGAGAAAACAAGACCCCTACGTCTTTCTTGTAAACTAATTATTCGATCTGTAGATCCCAGCAAGGCTGCCACATCACTAAACCACCCAGGGATGTCTCTTGCAAAGAAGAATTCGTAGAGATTTTTCCAGAACCCCAGTCCAGCCTACCCGACTGATATAATCTAGAATCCACTCTCTGCCTTTACTTAACTTAGTAGTAGGCGAATAGTGACCCTATTTGTATGCGCATTCACAGGGCACGTTCCAAGATCTCCCGCAACGAGAACCTAAGACATGGTGGATTGATAGTAAGTTGAAAGAATAAATGGATCGATCATAGGTTGGTTGAATATTGAGTGTAGCTTAGGCTACGTCTTCTGTTTACGCGCTACTAAGCCGGCACACAGGATCTTAGACGGGTTTCGTCCCCTTTCGGGAACACCTTCTTACTAGCTAGTACGGTAAAAGCCTGATGCAAATAGACCGAAAAAAGAAGAGTTCTTTATAG